ATTTGGAGGAAAAGCAACACTAATCACCAGTGTGTTGCAAAGCATGCTGGTGCATCTTTTATCAGTTCTGGTTCCCCCAGACAATATTCTTGAGAACTTACATAAGATCTTTGCACGTTTCTTTTGGAGCACCAAAGAGGAAGGTAGGAGTAGACATTGGTCTTCTTGGTAGAATTTATGTCTTCCTAAAGAAGGCGGTTTAGGGTTCAGATCACTTCATGATGTATCAAGGGCCTTGTTTGCTAAACTTTGGTGGAGGTTTAGAACTACTAAATCATTGTGGGCTAACTTCATGTGGAACAAGTATTGCAAAAAGAACTACCAACAATAGTGCAATTTAGAGAAGGAACTCATATTTGGAAGGAGATGTTGAATGCTAGGGAAGAAGTGGAACATGTGATCTTCTGGGAAATAAAGAGTGGAATAAAAAACATATGGCATTAAAATTAGACTGGATTAGGAGCACTATATCATATTTTGCCTCCAGATTTTCCAATAGATGAGAATTTGCAGGAGGTGGCACAATTGAGGCAAGAAGGGACATGGAATGAGAAGTTGATTGATCAAAGATTTCCTGAAGAAATTGCTGAGCATATTAAACATTATGTTCACTATGAAGGCGGTGAAGAGTATTGAGACAAGCCATACTGGATGCCAATATCATCAGGTAAGTTCACTATTAGGAGTGCTTGGCAGATTCTTAGGCATAGTGCAAACCTCAATTTAGAGTTCAAAAACATGTGGATTAAGGGGTTTTCATTCAAAATATCAGTCTCCTTGTGGAGACTATGGAGACACTATTGTCTACAGATGATTTATGGAGAAGGCAAGGTTATATACATGTTTCAAGATGTTGGTGTTGTCAACATCCCCAAGAGAAAACATTTGATCACATCTTTCAAAGTAGTCTTACTGCTAGTAAGGTTTGGAAGACATTCTTTGGTGCTGCATGGATTACTGTATCGTTGGTGCAGGTGAAACAAGTGATAAGTGCATGGTGGAATGCTAAGTTTTGCCTAAAGTTGAAGTCATTATTTCATGCAACACCAACTATCATTACATGGGAGCTGTGGAAGAAGAGGAATACAGGCAGGAATGGAGGTACAGTGTCGACTAGTAGAGTGATCCATGAAGTAAACAAAACATTGCATTACTTGGAAAGGGTTAGGTATCCATGGCTGTCAAATATACCTTTGCTTTGGCTAGATATGATAAGCTACCTTGAAGGATACAAGCCTATTCTTGTTACCAGAACGGTCACATGGCAGGCTCCTCATGTAGGGTGGTTCAAATGTAACACTAATGGACTTCAAAAGGAAACCCTGCACCTAGCTCACTAGGTTTTTGTATGAGAGATAATGTAGGTGACCTAGTGTATGCAAGGGCAATAGAATTAGGGGTTACTACCAATGTTGTAGCTGAGGCAAAAACAATTGTGGAGGGACTGAAATACTGTGTGGAACATGACATTCATCCTTTCATTTTGGAGACTAATTCATTAGTGTTGAAGAAGGTCATTGAAGGAGAATGGGATCCTCCTTGGTGCATAGTGCCAGAAGTAAAGGGGATTAAGGAGATGCGAGACCATTTCAATGTGATCTTTCAACATGTGTTCAGAGAGGGCAATATTGTCGCAGACTTTTTGGCTAACATGGTCTTATCTTTTGCAGGTACAGTCTAGTTTCACACAATCTCTAAACTACCAAGTGCAAGAAGGAGGTTGATCAACCTTGACAAATCACGTACTCATAATCTTAGGATTAGGATTGACAAAAGAAGAGCACCTGATTGATGAGCAGGTATTGGAATGTACGATCAGCTGCTGCTTGGTATTGTTACTTTTGTGTGTTCTATATATTATTAGGCTAGTTACCAGTGGTATTAGCATGTTATCATGCTCAATATGGTGGTGATCTAGTGAGATATGTGACAATTTATACAAGCACACAGCCTACCTTGTTTTACATAATATCACAAGTTGTCATGTTAATTAGATTAAGGTATTTGCATTATTAAGCTTCTGCATGTTAGGAGATAAGTTATGTTTTCAGATTGTTCATAGCTTCACTTTAGTACTGTCTCCAAATGTGCTTAAATGTGTTAACAAACTGGGGTCCAAGAATTTTAGATGGTCAGTGTGCTATATTGGAATTCTGAGTGTGGCTATAACATTATTCAGTGGTATTGGCATGGTTACATGCCCAATCGGAAGGTGTCACGGCAGCACTTGGAGTTGGTTTCATATCCAGGAACTAGCCTTTTATAGACAAGCTAACTGGCAATTCGTATCAATTTGGATGAAGCCAGTCGAAAGCCAGTTGACTACGTCTTTGCACTCTTTGCTTCATACTGCTACTGAAATTGCTGATTTACAGAAGATATATTTGTGCAATCACACATACATGGTAAACTATTGGAATGGTTGGACAGCTCCTGGAGTTGATGGTGTTCGTTGGAGATTCACATTTGCCTTGTCCTTTCAAATGCAAAACTTGGCGCCTGGTAGGAGCGTTAGAGGTGCTACATTGAAGTTTTGCCCTTGGCTTGTGGATACACACACCACGATATGTTGGAAGTTGTCTATGATATCACAAATTTGTAATACTTAGCTTTTACAGTTTTCATAGCTTTGGCTTAGCATATTTTAGAGATGACATTGGACAACTTATAAATTTTGGATCTTTGTTTTTGGATTATATTTATAAATTAATCACTTGACAGCCTGTTTAGTGGTCTATTTGTTATAAAAAAAAAAAACAATATCATATTATGTTAAATTTTTTAGCCTTTTTATCCCTACAACAAAATGCTTTTTATAGAAGTCTAAGCAGCAATACGAATCATAACTATATCAATGTACAACATGCTTTGATTTAATTTGTTGGATAAGCAGGAATCTTATTATGCTGACATAGTTAACGTAACACATATTGTCTAAAGGAAGTCCCAGTCACAAAATGTATGTCTCCTTAATCATCAGTTAATAAATTAAGCCTCACCCCAACCCCACCCACCATTATATTATCAAATCAAAAGTTAACTATTAACAAGTAAAATTTTAAGCATTTATAACCTAATATATTCTAGTTAAGAGTGAGTTTAATTTTTATCTACTGAATTGTAGTATGAAAAACATTTATATGCGCAGTGTGATTATTGTAAACTCTAAATTAAACCTGATAAACAAACTAATAAAATAGTCCTGAAAATGTACATCTTTACCTACTTACATATTGTGTGTGGGTGTGGGTGAAAAGAGTAAAACTTGAATGGCTACAGAATATTTAAAGAGAAATATTGCATGTGTGACTACTCATGCTGTCGCGCGCTTATGTTTGTCTAACAATAGTTTCAATATCTTATCGGCATTTGAAAAATTGAAGAGAAGACATGCTCATCAAATTCAATAACAAAATGAGAATTCACCTCAAAATTATGCTTGGCTGATCGCTGTTATAGATTAAGAGCATAAATTAGGAAAAATAGAAAGCAGACGAGCTTTAGATGTAAAGAACACGTTCATAATCAATAATTTACCCAGTCAACATTATCAACCGTGGTAGCGAACCATCTGCTAGCTAGCTGTTAAATGCTTATCAAATTTTTGGAAATATATATGCACAAACAAACAGATATATAGTGATTCAATATTTTTTTGTCGGAGAGCTGACCTGAAATCATAAATTTTCAAATCTGATTAAAGTCTCCAAAAGACTTCTTCTCCTTTAAAATATCAATGGCGCAGAAAGCACAACAAAGTTATTGTCCTCGCATTGCAATTACGTCAAAGATCACTTTTAGCTCGCGGCCAAAATTATTTATATTCGATAGCTGCAGTGTATAAAATTTATATATTTTTTTATGTATTACTTATAGAAATATATATGTGTGTGTCATTTCCATTGCAATTATTATTGCATCAAACTCTAGCATAGCTTTAATTGTTTTTTTTTTCGGTACAACCCCTAGAAGACCTACCTTCTCTAGACAAACTATTTTTTTCTATATTACTAGTAATTGTTATTTATGATGTATATATAAAACTAAAATAGTTGTAAACAACTTTTTTGTCTCACTCGTAACCTTTTAGTTCACAAAACTGGCAGCCTCTATTTTTATAGCGATGTGTTGATTACTCTGGAAATGTCTGCATTAATATAAAAAAGAAGAAAGTTTCTAGGCAAAGTTGTGATAGTAACCTCACAAAATCATTCTAATTAAACATTCTTGTCATTTATCTCAAAAAATAGCCACAGGGTAAAATGAAGCCATGGAGATGTTACGCCTACTTTTTTTACTCCCATTTCCTATCTTTGTTTGATATTCCAACTCAATTTTCATAACCATTTGCTTTCCCCATCATCGTTTGCTCAAAGCCGTACTAGTACTCAGGTAGTCTGTGCCAAGTTGCAAGAACAGACACATCATGAAGCTAGCAGTAGTAATTGAAGTTGTGTGGGTATGGGCCCCTCACATGATGTGGCTAGTGTTTGACATAACAAAAAGTTTTGGAAAGTGCCAAATGTGAAATAAATTTGCACGTTTACACATGCTGTTCTGGTTCCCATGTTCGGTTTTACATTATCTCCTTTTTTTTGTTCTTTGTTTTGTTAGGTATTGTTTACCTTTAAAATTGGATAATAATAAAACTTATAATGCGATTTTAAAAATACGTGATTTCACTCAATTGATAAATGTAAAGATCAGTAATAGAAATGAATAATAATATAAAGCAAACCAATGTTAAAACTTAATTCAGCCCTCGAACTAGGATACCCTCGACACTACAAGAAAAAGACTTTTTAAGAACCAGTAAGGACGAGAATACTACTGGTCCTTAAATCTCTATATTTTTAATTAAAATATTAAATAAAAATAATTTTTTTTATAATGTACTGTCCAATTATAAAAATTTACCGGGAGAAAGTGGTGCCATACCAAAATTGGAATAAAACATAATAAAATTTACATAAAAAACTCTAACTTTTATCAAACCTAAATCTACCGTCAAGTCTCATTTCCCTTCCTCCTCATAGAGGTAAAAACCCTAAATCCCTTAAACTTCCATACTTCTCTCAAAGGCATTTTCTTGGTATGTTAAGAAACATTTTTCTTGGTATCTTAAGGAACATTTTTCTTTTATTTGTCTTACGATAGATTTGCTACTCCCATATTTTGCAGGTTTGGGGAAAATATCAAATTGAAAAACTGCTATCCATCTCACCACAAGTAAGCACACTTTCTTTTTCTATGTATCTTTTGGGTTAACCTTTGTTTATTATTTTTCAACAACCCATATTTGCAGGTTTGTGAAATCTTCATTTTTTTTAATTTTTTTTTGTTGGTAGAAATTGATTGCTAGTCAGCAAATATTTTTACAATCAATTTCTTTTCTAGATTATATTTGGGTGTCCCTTTGTGAATTGTTTGTAAAAGCCTATGCGTTGTTTGGTTTTTTTCCTTTTGTTCTTCCTCTGCTTCTCTGTTCTTATATTTGAAACTTTACCTGTCTCTCTTCTGCTTTGACTGTGATTGCATTTTGGTGTTGTTGGGTTTCAATCGGTTACTGGGTTATTCTACTGATCATTTACTGGATTCTGCTGGTTTTGCCGTGTTGCTGAACTTGTTGTTGCTGTGTATTTACACTACTGCTGCTTCTACTGATCTTCATCTTCTTTCCTTGCTTTCCAAATACCAGGTACACAAACTGATACACTGGTACATCTTGTAAGCTACTCGAAGCATGAATGCAAAAATGGGAAAGATTTGAAGCTGTAGTTTAATGTAGTCTTTTCTTTCTTTTACTGTCTGTACTTAGAACATTCTATGCGCTGCCCATGTAAACTCTGGTTATATACTGAATCTCGGTTGTATATATGTTAGCTAGTTGCCTTCACTAGAATCAGGTAGTTGTTGGTTATGTATAACATGGGCACTATCCTATAGCAGTTTAAGTTGTAAACTTCTTCCCCGTAGGCTTTTAGTTTAAAAGGACTAATAGTGTAGTTGTAACATTCTGCTAGTTCAATTTGTTCGATTAAACAGCATGTTCCAAATACACATCAGGCCTTAGGTTGATTACTCAATAGTTCAAACTATTTTAGTTAACAACTTGCTCATCTAAATTCGTAAAAAAAAGGTTTCATTAGGTATCACTTTCATTTCGGATTCTTAAAGTTTGAACATGTGTTGAATCATTTAGCTAAGCCCAACATCTGAATAAGGATGGCACAAGTCCAGTTTTACCCTTTATACATTGGACCTGGGCCATAATTGTTAACCGACTGCCCTTATTGTATCGTTTTCAGATTTAACGACTCACTTTCGAAACTCAACTATAATAACTCGTGAGCATGTAAATAAGTTAGAACTCTTTTTCTTTCATTATAGAGACGAACGAAATAGAAAACATAGTCACTATAGGTCAATCCTTTTAAAATAAAAATGAGGCGTGCCTTGCCAAACAAAAATGCACAAGCTGCGGGACCCTCTATATGTGTTTGTAAAGTTGCTTAGACTCCGGGACGGGCCGTTTAGCAAAGTTTCACGGCTTTGCCCAAAATAACGATACGCCAATCGCTTAGGGCGCGTCTTTAATAAAATTACTTCCCTAAGTATGGGTGTGCATTTATGCAACCCAAATCCAAATCTCAACAGAGTCGAAACGTGTCTATGACCACTGGTACATTGATTGTAACGAGGTTCGAGATACGTTTTCACGACGTTGCAATTATATTAAATAATAATAATAAAAGCGGTTTAAACTTAATAAAAGCACACAAGTTATAACATGTATTAAAATCAGATATTTAGCCATTATAACAATTTAAGCGACCGTGCTAGAACCACGGGATCCGTGGGTGCCTAACACCTTCCCTCGGGTCAACAGAATTCCTTACTTAGAATTTCTGGTTCGCAGACTTCATTTGGAAAGTCGAAAATTTCCTCGATTTGGGATTCAAGATAAACCGGTGACTTGGGACACCAAAAGCCAAACCTTTCCCAAGTGACGACTCTGAAATAAATAAATAATCCCATTTTCGAATAATGTCACTTAAAATGGAAATACTCCCTCACGCATTTATCCTTCGGGGCAGGTGCACAAAAAGGAGGTGTGACAAACGCTACTACAGACCAGTTCCTAAATCTAATATTTTGGTGTCCTTAGTTGAGTTGTAACTTTGTGATTGTTCTTATTGTAACTCCTAAATTACTTAGCTAGAAGCATTGATTAGGAACTCTATTGTAAAAATCATAAACTCTCTGAGTTTGTGTTGTGACTAGAGTTAGTCATAAGTTAAAGTCTTTGACTAGAGAGTGACAAAGTGGCTTGTGGTAAGAGTATCACAAGTTAGTTGAGTTGAAGTCTTTGTAATTGAGTCATTATAAAGTGGCTTGTAATAGGTATTTACAAGTTAGTGAAGTTAAAAGCCTACAAGTGTAGGTCGCGGTTTTTGTCCCCTAGAGTGGGATTTTTCCACGTAAAAATCTCATGTCTCCTTTACTTACTGCTTCATTAGTATTCTCAATGGAAACTCATAGAAGACTATGTATTCTATAATTTAGTGGACTCGTATAAACTAACACACCAGTTTTTTTTTCCTGAGTATATTTCGTATGTTGAAACATATTGTTCAAGAAGATGATATTTTCTTGTGTTTGCTTTACTGAAATGGTTTCAAGTAAAATATTTTTAACCAAAAGAAAAAAATTAACTTCCTCACGACCTCACTTATGGGTGAAAGCCACTTTCCCACACAATTATCTCAATCCATCACATAGACGTTATTGTTAATCTTTATACTCAAAAAGTTTTACCATCAAAACAACCTAATTTGCTGCTAGTGCCATTAAATTTATAATTTTTTTTTTGGAAACGTATTGTTGTTCACTTCACCAATAGAGTATTAAAAACACTTCCCATGGGAAATATTTTTCGGTAAAATATTTTGTACAGAAAAAAATTTGTTTCATACAAAACATGTCTACCAGTATTTTCCTTTTATGCAATCTATGCATGTTCCCAAACCATCAGAATCTAAAGGAGGTAAAATCTCACCATTATTGATCAATCTTTTAATCATTGCAGTAAAATTATGGCCTAATTAAGCAGCGCTTGTACCATGGCAAGGAAGAGTTTTCTGTGATTCTAGATCTGTTGGCAACACATTCTCTACATCAAGAAAATAAAGGTTTTCATAAACCACTCAGTAAATTACCATAACCAACAACTTGAAAGTCAATACTACAAACACATTTGAAGTCTTTTTGTAAATATATACTAGAGACAACGACTGAATGCATCCATTCAAAAAACACACAGAACCTACCTTTTTGATACTATTACTTTATATCCAATTGTTGAAAATAAGGAAACATCCCAACTAATATGTTAGAGAAAAAATTACACTATAAGAAATTGGATAATTAGTGGTGTCATTTAGCAGCAACCCTATAGGTTGCTACAACAGTTATATTATTAGCAGCGACTTTAAAAAGTCGCCACAGTTTGTAAATAATTTAGCCGCGACTATTTACCTCTGATGTGGCTGAAATTTTTAGTCCCGCCAATATTAAAATTTGGCTCCATATTTTTGGGGCGACTTCTGAGAAGTCCCTGCTAAATATGTATTGCAACGAGTGGGTCGCTCCTATTGCCTTTTAAAATAACAAAAGAAAATAAAATGTGAATCGGTCCTCTCCTAATTAAACACTCTCGAACACATCGAGACGCCCAAAATCGGTTCTCTCTAGAAATCGGTCCTGACAAAAGAAATCCCAAATCGAAATCCCTCAAATCTTCTCGTTTGAAATCGGTCCTCTCTTCTGCTAAAATCTCACCCAAATCGAAATCCCTCAAATCAAAATGTGAATCCCTAATCTTCTCCTTTGAGTTGTCTCTATTGACTCAAAGCTTCTTCAACTTCACGCACTCAAGAACTTGTACACAGCTGGGGAAGTCGGCAAAGGGCAAGAAAATATAGAAGTGAAATTTTAACAACTCAGGTATGTTAAAATCCCTAATCTTTTCGTTTTTCTTTGGGGAAAGAAGTTGCTTTGCTGTAATCGATTTCGTGGAGGTACAATGGAACGAACGATTTCTCTTCCATAATCTAACTGAAAACCTTCTTATTTTGTTAATATCATATGTCTAACTTAAAACCCATATTGATTTACATTTGGGGTTTTTATGATTATTTTGTAAGATTTCACTTCAGGTAGAACAGTTCTATATTTTTATATTTTCTTCTATATACTGACATTTTGGGTTACGATGAGTACCGACGCTAATGGGAAACTATACTGACATTAAGTTAGTTAATTTTTGTATCTCCGAGGTTTATCTTTGGACGCTAACACAATGGTATCATTCATTTTCAAGGCTCAAGTATTTTAGTTTTTTAATTTGCTTTTGTTGTAATTAGAGGCGGAGTCAGAATTTTAACAAGTTTTGTTCAGTGTATGAGGGATTGTTCTTGTTCAGAGTCGGAACTTCAAGTACTCGTTCATTTTCAAGGCTCGAGTATTTAAGTTCTGTTCTTGATTTGGGTGTCTGGTTGTGGATATTTTTTTTTGGATGCCTTCTTTAGAAAGTTTAATTTTAATATAAGGGTCTGTGCAGTGTATGAGGGATTGTTCTTGTGAATTAGCTAAAGGAGAAATTTGTCAACTGGATTCTGCTTTAGACCTGAAACTGAATTCTGGGTAGTGGGCAAGATTTGATTTCATGGCAAAGCTTAAACTTTTTGTTGTGTTGAAAATCCTAGGTGTTTAACTTGGGTGTGGAGTGAAATTGCTGTATGTATAGTATGAGTTAATTGGTTGACGAATTTGGATGTTGTGGATAAAATCTTGGAATAAGAGGAAGCATTTATTGCCTATTAGGAATCTTAGTTTTATGAAATGAGTTCTGGAAGGCTGCACTTTACTTGGAATTCTTGGTGGAATGGATGTTCTTTCATTGATGTTTCAAAACTTTGAAATTGTATAAGAACTGTTGTAAATGTAGCTAGTTTTGATGGTGGTGAGATGTTTAAACCATTTCTCCACCTCCAAGTTATAGACTTTGGAATTCCATTTTCCACAAAGCTAGTACTCCTTCCGTTCCAATTTATGTGAACCTCTTTGAGTGGGCATGAGTTTAAGAAAAGAGGAAGACTTTTGGAATTTGTGGTCCTAAACAAGTTAAAAAGGAGCCAGAGTATTTGTGTGGTTATAGAAGCTTCTCATTAAGGGTAGAATTGTAAGTTTAAGCTAAATTGTTACCAAATTTAGAAAGGGGTCATTCTTTTTGGAACATACCAAAAAGGAAATGTATTCACATAAATTGGAACAGAGGGAGTAGCTTGTATACTGGAGCTACTAGCAGCACCCTTTTACACCCTTTTAGTTTGCTCTTTATCTTTATGTATATTAATGTTAAAAGCGAGGTCACACTTGAATGGAGTAATATTTATTTGACTACAAAGTATTTTCTTAAATTATTTTCTGTACCTCCATTTTTCCCCTCTCCTCTTCTCCACCCGTACCCACTTTTTGTGGTATATATTCCCTTGTTTTCTATCCATCGATTCTGTACATACCCTGGTTTGAACTTGTTCTTCATTGCACACAATTCGTATAAGTAATTCTGGAATGGACTGCTTCCTTCTTGTTTGAATAATGTGTTTTTGTGACTGCTTGTCTGAATAGCCCTGGTATATGTTAGTTATTATATATATTTTGATTATTATAATCCTTCCACTTTTAATTAGTAAATTAATTTATTTATTTTTTAATATAGATATGATGGATAAAAGTTATTTGAATATTAGGAATAGAGTCGACCAAAGGTATAGAGATGGAGTAGACAACTTTCTTAATTGGGCATTCAGCCAACCAACAGTGAACACTATGATTCGGTGTCCTTGTAAAGGGTATATGAATACCACGTTCAAGCTAAGGGTTGGTGTAAGAGGAGATTTATTGAAGAAGGGTTTTTGAGATTCTTATAAAGTGTGGGACTTGCATGGAGAAGTGTTAGTTAGAGTTGAAAATTCGAATACTGCAGTTAGTGATGAAGCAGAAGATGATAGCATTGACGAGGATAATATAACTGAAATGATTCATGATGCTTGTGGATATATGAATGTGGAGGATAATAATAATAATTCAGAGGACAGTGAAGAGCCAAATGTACATGCAACAAAGTTCTACAAATTGTTAGAAGATGCTGAGACAAAACTTTATCCTTGTTGTAAAAAAGTCTCGAAGTTGTCTTTTGTTGTTAAACTACTTCACTTGAAGTGTCTTAACCATTGGAGCAACAAATCGATGAATGCATTATTGAGCTTCTTTAAAGAAGTTCTTCCCGAGGGGTCATTTGTGCCTAATTCTTTCTATGAAGCAAAGAAAGTTCTTTGTGACCTCGGCTTGGGGTACACCAAAATAGATGCATGTCGGAATGATTGTATTTTATATTGGCGTGATTATGCCGACGTCCAAGCATGTCCTAAGTGTGGTAAGTCTAGATGGAATTCCGAAGAACACGGAGGCACGAAAGTAGCTCATAAAATCTTGCGGCATTTTCCAATCAAACCAAGGCTTCAAAGATTGTACATGGCAAGAGAAACAACTAAAAAGATGAGGTGGCACAAGGAGGGAAATGTTGATGATGGTGTCTTGCGACATCCATTTGACTCAATAACATGGAAATCCTTTGATGCACGACATCCCACCTTTTCAGCTGAGTTAAGAAATGTTCGATTAGGTTTGGCGAGTGACGGGTTCCAACCTTATGGGAACATGAGTTCTAATCATAGCATTTGGCCAGTCGTACTAGCTACGTATAACTTCCCACCATGGGATTGCATGAAAAATCCATATTTCATGATGCTGCTTCTTATTCCAGGCCCCAAGTGTCCAGGCAATGATATCGATGTATATTTACAACCAATGATTGAAGAGTTGAAAGAATTATGGGACGGGGTGGAGACTTATGATGCACACTCAAAATCTAATTTTCTGATGCGTGTGGCTATCATGTGGACGATCAATGACTTTCCTGCATACGAAAACCTTTCAGCATGGTCAACCAAAGGCAAGCTTGCATGTCCTTGTTGCCGTAAAGATACACAATTGACTTCTTTGTGTAGTAAGTTGTGTTATATGGGTCATCGTCGCTTCCTTCCCATGGTCCATCCATGGCAGAGAAGTAGGACGTTATTTGATGGGAAAGTTGAAATGGGAGTTGCACCTAACCTTTTAACAGGTGATGAAACACTTGTGCAATTACAAGCTTTGGGTAATGTGGGTTTTGGTGAAGGACAAAAGAGAAAGCATGATGTTCATAGCAATGCTTACAATTGGAAGAAGAAAAGTATCTTTTTCCAATTGCCTTATTGGAAGAGTCTTACGTTACGACATAACCTTGATGTGATGCATATCGAAAAAAATGTGTCCGATAATATTATATCAACTGTCAAGAATATGGTTGGAAAGACAAAAGACACATTGAAAAATAGATATGACTTGATGGATCTTGGAATCAGATAAAGGTTGCATCCTACTGAGGATAGGAATAATACTTTGTTACCGGCAGCATGCTATGCATTGTCCGCGAAAGAGAAGCTGAAGGTATGCAATCTATTAACGAATCTGAAGGTTCCTGATGCATTTTCCTCAAACATTTCAAGGTGTGTCAACATACAGGAGAAAAAGATACATGGTTTGAAATGTCACGATCATCATGTATTGTTGCAAGACATTTTTCCAGTAGCTATACGTGGTTTGCTACCCAAGGAAGTGTGTGATCCAATTATAGCCTTAGGAAAGTTTTCAAGAGTATATACACTAAGTGCTTGACGATTGAAGATCTTGATATCCTAGAGGCATAAATTCTTGTTATTTTGACCAAACTTCAACTTGTTTTCCCTCCGGCTTTCTTTGATGTCACGGTTCATTTGCCAATTCACTTGCCAAGTGAGGCAAAGCTTGGTGGACCAGCTCAATATCGGAATATGTATCCTATTGAGAGGTAATTTATTGTTTAATAATTTTGATGCTATAGTTTTAGAATGACACACATTATATTAATAAGTCATTTTATATAGGTATCTACGAACACTTAAGTCATATGTTCGCAACAAAAATCGTCCAGAAGGTTCAATTGCAGAAGGTTATTTGGCAGAGGAAAACCTCACATTTTGCTCACGATACTTGAAGAATATCTCAGCAAAGTTCAATAAACCAACTAGGAATGACGATGGATCTGTGTCAAATGATGAGATGTATATCTTTAAAAAAAGTGGGCAAACAAAAGGTGCCTCAGAAGGCAGCAGGCTATCTCATGATGAGTTTAAACAAGCATGTATGTATGTGCTTCAAAATTGTAAAGAGGTTTCGCATTTCATGGAGTAAGTCTCTTATTAACTTCAAGATAGTTTCACATTGAGATAATTTGAATCCGATTTATCTTAGCTAACTAAAAATGTAGGGAATATACAAGAGAGATTAAAATTCAAAGTTCAATGAGAGCTCATAAAAATGGGTTTCTTGATTGGTTTCGCGCATGTGTAGTTGTCTACTCAAATGATAATATTGATATTAGTTTATTCATCCCATCATGTTATTGGTCATAACAATATTGTTCGTCTTTGTAGATATTTGTACTATCTGCACAAGGACGCGCAAATGATGAGCTCATAAGCTTAGCCGTCGGTCCTGCACCATTAGTACATCGATATTCAACATTTGTGGTGAATGGATTTAGATTCCATACAAAAGAGCTTGCATTTGAGAAGAAAAATGCAGAATAGTGGTATTCTTGTGAGAGGAGATGATTCAGACTCTAATAAGGAGTATTATGTTGTATTAAAGAACAATTATGAGTTATCTTATGTGGGAAATAGAAAAGTTTACTTATTCAAGTGTCATTGATGGGATGTGGCTCGCTTAGGAAGAGGATATAAGATTGACAAATAAGGCTTCACAAGTGTGAATACTTGGTGTGCCTTGAATACAAATGAGCCATTTGTGTTGGCATCTCAGTCAGAACAAGTCTTTTACTTGGACGACATGGTCGATAATGATTGGCTTGTTGTTGTGAAGACAAATCCTCGTGACCTTTTCAAAATGCCTGATAATGATGATAATTGTGTAGATATTGAAGATGAAGAATTACTGAATGAAGATGTTTATCAGCAAGAGGAAGCCGAATTTAATACTTTGTGCACCAATGACCAAGAAAATATTGTTGAGGTGTCTCTACATAGGGATAATGTTGAACCACAAAGTATTAACTACGATCATGCAAGTACGCAAGCTCAAAACAATGTGCATAATGAGGAAGATGATTTCATTAATGACAATCATATAGAAATATCAGAGAGTGAAGATAGAGAAGAAGAGTTATTTGATGATGATGATGGGGAGGACATTGATACATCCTCTTGAAGACTAAGAAGCAAAAAGCGAATGATATAGATGTTACATCCTATTTTGAAAATTCTCTATATTTTCGTCCATGACTTTATACTACCCCATGTATTTATTTGGAACTCTCAATGAACCAAAGATTATTGATGCTTGAATCTTTATATTTCTTTTTTGATTCTCTTCGTGATGCTTGTAGCTTTATGTTGTATTGGTATAAAGTAAAGGTGGAAGTAATGAATTGTATTAAAAGAAGGGATCTATTATTCTATGTGCCTGCTAATTTGGGTGAAAAGAATTGACCATCAACTAACAAACAGTAGAGCTTTCTTTACTTTAATATCTAATGAGGCATGGACTTATGTCCCCTTTCTATAGACATGAAGTTAGAAAATTAGTGAATTAATATTTTCTCTATTCTGATCAATCATTTTCTTTTTATGTTTTATTGCAGGAAATGAGAGGAATTGGACGAGGAAAACGTGGGAGAGGCGGGGCGAGCTGTGGTCATGAAAATTTTCAAGGACGTGGCAATTTTGGAGTGACATCTCAGCCACACATACAAATCGGACGTGTATCTGATGCATCTGTAGAGATAGACAACCAAGTAACCCGGGTCAAAGACCTTTACAGACCGGACGAGTATCTACTAACTCTCTCCAAATATCTTCTTTAGAAACACAATTATCACGAAATGTAGCAGAAACTGTGCATTGCTCTCCAGAGGCTGAAAATTGTGCAAGTTAGTTTCTGTTTTTTGTTGTTTTGTGAAAATTATTTTTACTGATTGAGTGGAGCTACTAATGAACAATAGTATCCTTTTACTTTGCAGTTTCTTCCAGCAATAAAAAAAGAGGAAGAGGAAAATACAAATCTAAAAGTTTAGAAGTAAAAACTAAGTGTGGTGGCAAAATCAAAATTATGATTCCAGATGACATTGATAGAGCATTAGGTTCTGGGGCTACAGATATTGTTAATTACTGTGGTTTGATCATGAGGAGCACTATCTCGTTCCAAGATGGAAATTGGCAGAAAATAGTTTTAAAACACGGAGAAGTAATATGGTTAAAGGTCAAGGTAATAAACTACTTTCAATATTGTATTGACTTTAAGTTGCAAGGTTTATTTATGTGGTTAGGATATTGAATATAATGTTACATTTATTGTCAGGATAAATTTGAAGTTTGCAGCGGGTTGCGAGAGCATAGGTTTCAGGCCTTTGTAATTAGCACTATGCAAAGGCTTTTTAGGGCATGGAAAGCTCGACTCAGCATTCTGTACTCTAAGTACAGTACTAATGAAGAAAGATTGTCTCATCGACCTGAAGATGTTGAGCTTGAGGACTGGGAATACCTAATACAATATTTTGGAAGTCCGGAAGTTAAGGTATTAACTTAATACCTAAAGATTGTCTCTTTGAATGATGATTTATTAATCTGTTTACTTAATGGTTGTAAGTGAGAGGAACAAAAGAAATAGAAAAAGCAAATAACTAAGCATTCTTGTGGTACAAAGTCTTTTGCAGAAGTAGAGGAATCTACGGTAAAAATATATTTAGTCCCCTACTATCACATATGTTTCTTTGTTATTTACATATTTATATATTTGCTTATATATTTTTTTTCCGTAACTATATTGCAGAGAAATATTGGACACACCATATAAAGTTTGGGAGATCCAATATACACGCAAGGATGATAGAGGAGAACTGGTGTGGTTGGTTTCACAATCCCAACAAATTCATGTAATTATCTAAAAACACTTATAAAGTTCTGTGTTTCTGTAAGTTTCATTTAATATGTTTTATTATGTTTTGATTTAAATGATTATGCATAAATACAGGGTCAACTCCAGGAAGTTGTCGCTCAGTAACAATCTGAGGAGATCGAGCATCCCATGACTAGAGATGAGATTTTATCCTCCGTTGTTGGTGAGAGAACATGCTATGTTCATGGAAAAGGATATAGAAAGAAGCCTCCTAAAAAGAGTAACATTCAGGCAAACATAGAGGCCAGCGTGTCTTCTGCTATTGATATTGTGCGTCAAGAGATGCAAGCCGAGATGGATAGAAAGTTATAAGAAGAATGTGAACAAATGGCTGCTGAGTTGCGAAGAAATATGGAAATTGAGTTGGAAAGGAAGTTGGCAGAGGAGCGTCAACACGCAAGTGCAGAAGCAGACGAGGATTTCTCTAGAAGTGGAGAAGATGATGCAAGAACAATTTGCTAGTTTTTTGACCAGAATGCAACAACAGGTACTTGCTCCGCTCCTTCTTAACAATTCTTCTTCCTTCTCGACATTTCTTCTTCCTTCCTTTTGTAGTGACTTCATGTTTTGGGGTTTAGTAATGTGTTGGTATCTCTGGTTTTAGTAATGTGTTGGTTCTATTTCAACAGAAAGGTTGATTTTAGTACGTAATGTGTTAGTATCTCTGGTTTTAGTAATGTGTTAGTTCTATTTGACATGTGTGATCTGATGTAATAATGTTTGATAAGTTGAGGAATGAAATGATAATTGGTTGGTCCTGCATATCAGGATCTACAGATAAGTGGGATATTAACTTTTGTTAGTTCATGTTGGTGATAATGCTGCATTTGAAGGATTATGATCAATTTTGACTATTTGAGGTTTCTGTCTGAAGTTATTTGAGTCATTGCTAAAGCTCTAATCTTTCTCATTTCTTTGCTCATTAACTTGCATTGGTTAGTGTTTTTGACCTTTGCAGTTTTTATTCTTTGTCTACTTATGTGTGCTCAGTGTGCCAACATTGTTTGAACCTTTATGGAAAAGCGTGATCTAGTTTCCATGTTGTTTGTGAAGTTATATATAAAGTAGAATACTGATGATACTACTTCTCCAGAAAAGTTACTTCCTCTTTACTTTTGTCTTCATTGGATGATTAACACAACTTCTTATGGTGATCATGCTTGTCTTGAATTTTGAATTAAAGAGGAATTTGTTAAACTCTGTTCTGACTCAAACCGTCGGAGAAATTTTGGGCTAATTGTTGAGTAAATTGCCACTTCATTTTTAACATGCATGCTTATTAGAATTATATGCTTAGGTTCGAGGCATGTGGGCCTTCGGGCCATCATTGTTTATTTTACTGAGAATTTTAGTTTCTTCTGATCTTGCCTGTTTCAATTATAACTTGAATTATTGCTACTTGCTATACCTCTCTTTAACCGTGGCCTATTCTTAGTATATTCACAAAAATTACAAGCACAAGGCTTTGAGTAGTTTATGAGAATCCATTCTCATGATCACTGTTAAGCACTCAAAAAGCAAATGATAGCTTATGCATTTGATATCATATCATATCAGAGAGCTTTAAATATTTGAGCTTTTTGTTCCTAATTCTGAAATTTGGAACTCTCCCTTTGTCCATGTTTATTAGCCCTCTCACATGTGTAGGGATATCAGTAAAGGTGGTGTAGACCTTTGTAGTCTGTGGTGTGTGACTTAGAGCCGCGAGATGGTTTGCTACCTTGTTTGCTTTTCTCTAGCAATGCTAGATGGTACTGCGTACCCCTCCATGTTCTATCTTAGATGTTTCATGATAAGACTCCCATGTATGAACTTCTATTTGGTGTGTGTATTTACCTTGACTTATGTGTTCAACGTACCCTCCATGTTATAGGAACTTTCTGTTGAGATTTTTATAAGGCTAACAGGTTAAAGGTTGTTCTGCTCTTATCCATATACTCATCTACCTCTCAAGTATCATATATTACGATGTTGTTTAAGATCATAGCTTCTTTGTTAGTTATGATACTAAGGTCCTATTGTGTATGTGCCCTGGATTAAATTAGAGCTTGCCCGGATAACATAGATCGTCACCAATTTCCTTTGTGCTTTTGATAATAATAATATTGGGTAGACAAAGTAGTTTCTCCTATTGTTCTGCTAGGCTGGGTTTGGTATTTGGGTTCTCCTATGCCTACAATTTTGTTTCTTTGCTACATATTGTTGAGGTCTGGTCATTCACTGAATGACAAAAGCTATTATATTAGCGGAAACCTGTCGTGCATCAACTTTGGGCAAGAGAAGCAAGAGTTGACATGTCCATATAAATGACAAAAATAAGTTTGTGTCAGCTGCATTCTCTGCACAAAGAGTATATCCTACTTCTTTTTTAAGTGTCTTATGGGAAATCTGATATTGTTTGCAGAACATGAGCGGTTAATGCATCCCCAACACTACTGCTATCTTAGAAACTGTAAGCAATACAAAAAATAACCACAGTGAGGCCTAGATCAAGATGTGTGCATGTAAACTTCGATTCTGCATCAAAAAGATTGTACCATTTCTTCCAATTATTCCATTCTCAACTAAGGCTAAATCATAATATGAGCAGTTGGAAATATCTAAAAAAAAAGGGAGAGAATTGATATCCTTTCAAGTAGAATAAGTCATGTCCTCTTCAACTGAAACCAAGACAGATTCAATTGAGGAAACCCGATGTATACCAATCTTGTCTTGTGTCTGGTTGATCTTGTGTAACTGTTCCAACTAAAAGTGACATCTAAGATTCATGCAACTCTTGCTTTGTGGTCTAGACAACTTTTGCAATTGTTAAGTTGCTTTTTAGTACACAAACTTTGGTCGCAATTTCCGGCTTTCCTTTGACATAGATTGAAAATTCTTAGAATTTTGATAGTAGTTGGATATAACAAATCCCATTATGTTCCTTATATATATTCCTTTTGTCTAGCAGGGACAAGACACTTAAACAATGGTTCAAGGATGGTGTCGAGCAAGGAGCAGTTACAAGGCACTTAAACAGTGGTTGGTGTCGAGCAAGGAGCAGTTACAAGACACTTAATATTTTATCTTTTTTGGAATATGTAAATGCGTACAATTACAATGCACAATGAAGTGTCGGATAGTATATATGTAATTGACTTTTTAGTAATGATAATATTTATAATATTTGGCTTGAGAAATTCTTTTGGTGTTTGCCAAGCATTATTGGTTGCTTTAATATTGATAGTCAATTGATATGAATATCTCTATATGAAATTTTAGAGAATTAGGTTCCTACTGGCATGGAAATGTATATAATTTTGGTTATTATAATTGCTGAGAAAATAACTTTTAGTGGCGACATTGTTTTGTCAAAAATTAGTAATTGTTGCGATATATAAATTGCTACAGAAGGTCAATTTCTTTTGCAGCGACTAAAAGTCGCTACATAAAATATTGTGTCTTTCATGGTTAAACCTTTTGTGGCAACTTTAGTCGCTACTAAATGACATTTATAGTGGCAACATAATCTTGCTACTGAACATAAATATTTTTTGTGGTAATTTTAGTCGCTATTAAAGGACATTATAGTGGCGACATAATCTTGCGTGGCGACATAAACTTGCCACTGAACATAAATATTTTTTGTGGTAATTTTAGTCGCTACTAAAGGACATTTATAGTGGCGACATAATTTTGCCACTGAACATTTGTGGCGACAGTAGTCACTGCTAAAGGTGAATATATAGTGGCGACCCATCTAATATTTGTTCTTATGGAACAATTTTTTGTAGTGCTTTTCCACAAAATATGTTCTTTTAGTGGCGACTACAAATGTCGTCATAAATAACCTTCAGTTACGGTTTTCCTTGTGGCAATACAAAAGTCCCCACTAATAAGGGTGATTTCTTGTAGTGTTGTAAAAAAGGAGAGGAGAATATGCTCCGTGAGAGTTGAGACGCACACATGGTTGTACCATATTGCTTTGGGTGAGCATCCTTCTGGATGCAAACAAAGCTAGCAAGCTTATCTTTTTCAATGATGCCAAGAGCAAGTCGATCATAATATGAATCTGCTTTATCTCTATTCTTTTTCTCCTACTACTCCTCTAGTCTTTCTTTATTTGTACTATATTTGCTTTGGAGGAGCATCTATATCTTTTGGATAAATAACAAATTTAATACAATAATAGTATGATCACGATCTCATCGTGAAATTCTCCTCATCATAGTCATCATCATTATTGCATCATCTCAATGCAAAAGAATCAACATCTTGCGCATGTTACTATTTATAACATCTCGATACATTCTTCGGCCTGACACTATTGTTTAATGGTGTATATAACTTAATTCTAATTAGTATTGAGCTGCATGTACATACCTACACTGGCACAATTAGGTCAAAATCTAGTTCTTCTGTCCAATTGTTACAAACGAAATCCATACAAATTACAGAGTGGCTAACCTCTACGTCAATTATTTCAATTCATAAGATAGTCCTAAACTGCAATATTAATTGACCTCCCAACCCAAGCCTCTATCCAGCTGCCTAATTTGGATGTACTAAGAAATGGCAGCAATTAATGCAAAAGAATCGATGTCATGCACAGGTTACTCTATTTGCATAAACATCCAATCCCATAAATGATGCATAATAAAGAGAAAATAGCGCACCATATTGGCTGTTAATGGAGGTACCCGAACCTGTAAGAGGGAGCAGTTTATGACTAAAAGCATGATAGAAGAAACCCTAGCTGTCTCTTTCGTTCGCCATTTTACACCTTCAGGAAAATTAATCAATAACTCTAGACAATTGTGGATCGGGTAGGGATTGACCCATTGGGGTGATGTTCAGGCTGACCCAAATTGTTTTCGGCCTCCGAGCATTTTTAGTAATTTGTGTATTAAGTTCTTCCGAAAATTACGATTTTTGACTACATTTCTGGTGCACTTTTTTATTTTTTCGATATCGCTTGCTTCACGAGCAAAACTTTAAGTTTAAGAAGTGTTGCCCTTAGCTTGCCCTGTGGACAATACTTTTGACTTCAAAGGTTTGCTCAGGAGGCCAGCGATATCGAAAAAACATGATCATCCATTTTCAATGTCATTGGATGTAATTTCCTGTAATTTATAAATGCCAATACTCTTTCGACAAGCAATTTTGAACAAGTGATTTACTATAAGATTTTTGTTTTCATGACCCAATTTTAATTCAAACTTATAGTTTCGGATCAGTAATGTCATTCTTTTGATCATTACCAAACGAAGCAATTGTATTAGTAGAAAAAACGCATGACAATTGACATGTGGACCATCAAAGAGAGTGACAAGTGGCACTTTCAATTAAGTAAATTAAAGGAATTGAAAAGGCAAGAACAAAACACCCTCGGTGTATCATCAGAAAAGGTACCGGCCGTGACAGCCGAAAAAGAAGAAATAGGTACGAGATGAATGAAAACCATTAAAGGTGAAGGTTCATAAATTTCTTAGGAATAAGGAAGGAAAATCAGCATTGATCTTGATTACGAAAAATCTTCAATCATTAATGTAACCATTACAATTATATATGGTAACAGGCAATCAATGTAATTAATGCCATTAACAAGCCATAATTAAGTAGAGAAACTGTTATAATTATGTATCCTTATATATGGGCCCAATCCTCATTTGTAAAGGCATCTAAATTTTTATCAATATATGCAATTAGTTTTTACTTTATTCAAAGTGTTCAAACCATAATTCTGGGAGAGATTAGCAATTTGCATTAAGCTTTTTTTTTCTTACCTATTATTTCCATTATTCTTTTTATTCTTTGAATTACCAAGAAAGTGAAGCAACTTTGGTTACCAGTAACCCGATTTTTTCTTGATATTAGCTTTGACCGAGAAATTAATTTTTGGGTTAAACAATATGGTTCCGTTGCCGGGAATCTGATAATTTATTCACTTTTCAAATTTTATTTTTTGCAACAAAATATGTCTACTGCTAACGAGAATAACTAGCTGAATCAACAAGGTGAAACTCCAACACATCACATAACTAGTGAGTCTCAATTCTACTTTTTAAAACAGAGATTATTACTAATCCATGCACCATCATACAGCTTAGTCTTCCCAACTCTCAAGTCCACAAAAAACGTGATAACTATTACTCATATTCCCTTTTCCTTTTCTCCAATTCTGAGGCATTTCCCTTAATTTGCGCCTTGGGTAATTTTGGTCATGTGTCATTCATTCATAATATCATATTGTATACAGTAAAATTGGAGGGTCCAATTCCTCATCATCGAGGTACCTCAGAAGATCATCTCGAAGCCTCAAGGCTACAAGGCTATGGTCGAGTTTCCTCTCTCGAGGTTTGTCGACGCCCGACCTTGAGCTAATGTTGACCACAACTATGGCAGAAATGGGGAGTTCCCAAGGTACACAGCTAGGACTGACAGAGCCTAGTGGACTACCCTAACCCTAAATCAGGGTGTCATCTAGCTGTCCCATCCTCATATCTTGTAATTGATGCATTTTGTACTATGTTGAGATTCCCCTCATATATAAAGGGGACCCTTATCATTTTAGAAACCCCTGTTGCTTCAGTTGCCCCACACGAAATATACAAGAACATTCTCTTTGCTCTCTAACATATTTTCTTGATATTATTACTTCCATTTATTATCTTCATTATTGTTCATCATTTATTGCTTATCATTGTACATAAAGAGCATTCGTTGATTTTATTTATAACTATTAGCCATACTTCGACCACCTTCGATAGTTCACAATCAAGCTCCGGAATCGACCTCGAGGTCCCCGAATCGACGAGCTCGAGGCCCCGATTGTTAACTTATCGGTGCAGTTATCACCTTATCCTTAACTCTTATCTCGTTTCTAAGTCTCACACACATAACATCAACTGCTTAACAACTAGCATAAAAATAGATCATGTATATTTAGAGTCCCACAATCAAATTTAATTGTTATTACCATTTTCACGGTAAACAGTTTGGCACCCATCGTGGGGCTAAAAATAATAATGATTATTTTCTTGCTGGTTTTACTACATAACACAAGTTATCTTTCATGCTTTCTCTTGTCCAAGATCTTTGATTTCAGGTCGAAATGTCTAACTCAGTGAATGGGGGATAAAACAACAATCGTGAGGACCACGGAGAAAACGGTGTGGGTGTTCCAGGTATTGGTGTGCCACCACGAAACCCTGGGAATGCACCAGAACCAATCCCCGTGGATGCGGTCTCACGCGACGCCCAACACATCGACATAAGCTCCCACACTGACAGGAGCGTGCACTAAGGGGATCAACAAGAAGCTTAGAAAACCACAATTAGGGAAGAACGAGAGGTTAGCCTTCATGTTATTTTTGAAATATTGTAGGCACAACAGTTGGCTATTGCTCAGCTACAAAGTCACTAGAAAACTCCTAGCATGGTAGTACTGGGGACAACTTTCCCAGCCGAACAGGTACCGGAGAGATCGAGCTAATGGGTCGATGACCGATCCTGTCATTGTAAAAATGCTCGAGGGCCTCACCAGAAGGATCGAATCGGGCGAGAAAATGATAGAAGCCAACGACAAGAAGATCGAGACCTACAACTCTTGGGTCGACCAAATTCCGTGCGCACCCTCGGTCCTGAAAGGTGTGGATTCGAAGAAGTTCATACAAAGGCCGTTCCTAGAGGAAGCGGCTCCGAAACCCATTCCAAAGAAGTTCAGAATGCCAGACCTCCAAAAATACAATGGGACCTCAAACCGAAATGAGCACGTCAGTGCTTACACTTGCGCAGTGAAGGGCAACGACATAAAGAACGATAAGATCAAGTCCGTCTTACTAATAAAGTTTGGGGAAACACTCTCGAAGGGGGCCATGATGTGGTATCACAACCTAGATCCTAACTCCATAGACTTATTTGCCATGCTAGCAGACTTCTTCATAAAGGCACATGCCGGTGCCATCAAAGTAGCAACAAGGAAATCCGACGTCTTCAAAATCAAGCAAAAGGAGAACGAGATGCAGCGAGAATTTGTATCTCGCTTTCAAACAGAATTAATGGAACTACCTCCAGTCTCCGACGACCGGGCAGTGCAGGCCTTCACTCAAAGTCTGAATGAACGAAGCTCAGTGGCTTCAAAGCAGTTGAAACAGAATTTGGTCGAGTACCCCACTGTGACCTGGTCGGACGTCCACAACC